AAAAATGTCAATATTTAACATTGACGATTTGCATAAAATAGATGCGCGTGGGAAACATATCGAAGATTGGCCGAGGAAGCATGCTACATTCATACATCAATGGCAAAATAGACATTTACGATTATCTAATCGTTCTGAGGTATAACCCAAAGATTTTGATTTCAATGTTCTCCCTACCTCCAAAATTATGAAACAAATGGGAAACAATACTTGACAACTCCGGAGGAGAGATCCAAGTGGGAAATAATGAAGGCAAAATATGGAAAAAAATTATCATCTTCATCTTATGCTTCCACCAATTATTATCCATCGTAAGAAAGTTATGGTGGATATGGTGCATATCAACCATCGACGGAGAGTCGAGCGGCGTGGGAAGGAAGTGGTTGGGATCAAGTGCCACCTTTACAACAATTTTTCTCAGAACTGAAAGAAAGAGGTCCATGGGATCATCTTCTTCATCACGAACAATATTAATTTGAGGCGATGACATCAATGATGGCGCAAATACCTTGAATACTCTATCGTTTCACCTGAAGATTTACATTAAAGTGGTGGAGTAATGTTTAGTACACCAGAACCAGAAGAAGACGAAAATGATGAAGGTGGACGACCACGACGAAATCGACGAGCACCACGTCATTACCATTCTACCACGCCTCGACATCGGTAAGAATTGCGCAAATATAAGTAATAATTTTTTTTATTTAAGTTTTTGTACTCAATATTTAATTGTATCAAAATTCATTTCTAAGTAATAAATTTGTTGATTTTTTTAAAAATTTAATTAAATAAAGTTTATTTTTTTAAAATTATAAAAATTTTATAATTTTTTCTATAAATTTCATTGATATTTAGCGTATTTTATAAAATTTGAAATTTAAAATAAAAATATGTAAATTTTTTAAATTTCGAAGTTAAAAATAATATCAGACTTTTAGAATTTTTTAATAAATTTGAAAAAGGAAAAAAACTACATGGAACTCGTCACGCTAGTGTGACGAGTTCCAACGGGTATAAATTAAAAATTGGACCGATAGGGTGACCGTTGTGGAACGATCATTTTTTTAAAAAACAATTAACTTGAACTCGCACGCTAGTGTGACGAGTTCCAACGGCTACTTTGGAAAATTTAGTATAAATAGGGGTTTAGGGTGAAGATTATGATGTATGAGAAGTGACAAAAAATTGAGAATATCAAATATGTGGCCGTGGGAAAAATTTGGTATTGATTTGGCTAACGATGTTTATGGGTTTCACAACATCGACTTGGAGATCGACGATTCAGGTTCAAGCTATTCTCCAGATGAAGAGTGGGAAAAGGAGGCAATAAAGTACATAGTTGAGAAGCATAAGAAGAATAAAATGAAAATGAAAGAGGAGAAGAAGAAGAAGTCTGAAGATTTACCAAAGCGGCGTATAACAAACGACTAGTTGAGAGGGAAAAAAAATTAAAAGAAGTATAGAAATTGAGAAGAAGAAGACGAAGGAAGATTGAATTATAGAGAGATCTAAAAAAATAAAAAAAAATGACATATGTACAAATATTGATTTGTATGGTTTTAGTTTATGTATGATGTTATCTTTATTAATTAATTATTATATCACTAAAATTCAAAATTTTATTTATCATTAAAATGAGAAGTTATAGTTATCAAAATGATTAGTTTTGAGTAAATTCTCAATTAAAAAACTTTAATGAAGTTTTAAATTTAAAATTTAAATTATCAATTACAAATTTGTCTTCTCCATTTTCAATTAGAAAACAATACCGATATTTTTCATGTGGTACCGATACCAAAGGTAAGAGAAGTATCGATACTCACTTGGTAGTATCAATACTACCAGTATTTTCCAAATGGGTCAAATTCCAGAATGCAAAATAGGTATCGATACTCATGGGGGTATCAATACTACTTTACACAGTAGTATCGATACCATAACGAGGTGTACCGATACTGTCAAGCCCAACAGTCTTAAACGGCTAGTTTTATTTAAAAATTATAAAGGTAGTAATGATACTTATTGAATAACTAGGGGTTTTCCAAAGGTTACTCTTGATCCTTGAAAAAGAAAGAACAAATTTACTAATAGTTTGGAACTAGGGGTTTTACAGTACATAATATTTTGTAATGCCTATTTTAGCATCCAGCTCGATATTTTGGAAGATGTGGACAATGTTTTCTATTATGACCTTCACGTCAGCAGTGGCCACAAAGTTTGAGTTAACCTGACTCTCTTTGAGGATCTTCCATATTAGTATGAATTCAGCTAGATTCAGGTCGACCCCGTAACTTCCTACGCAATTGAGGATTTGTCAACCATTCTTCATAAATTGTGTATGTAGGCCAGTATGCTTCATTTGGGAGGTACTTGAAGGCACAACTGTAAATGTTGCGCATAGTGTGCAAGTTATAATAGTCATCAACATATAAGTATGGATCAACATTGATGTGCATACCTGCAGCAACAACGTAAGCGCATGGGAACCTAAAACCTTGAAATCGACCACAATCACACTATCTTATATTCAGATTAGTAGTGTATGTTGTAGAATTACCTCCCTCATGTGGTCGAACTAGTGTTTGGACAACGAAATCAGAATCAAGTCTGGAAAAATTGTGTACAAACATTGATGTCGCATGTGTTTTATTATTTTGCATTGCCTTCTCTAAATCTGGAGCCCAATTTCTCCCATCGCTGATCATGGAATCAATTTGTGCACTTTTGTTTGCCCATACTTTACCCAACCTAAAGTAAGTATCCCTAACAATACTTGTTATCGGGAGATGTCGAGTCCCTTTCAGCACTAAGTTGATACATTCAACAAGGTTGATAGTAATATGGTCGTAACATCAACCCTTAACATTATATGCTTGTGACCATCTCTCCCTAGGGATTTCAACTGCGAACTCATACACATCATCTCTGATCTGAGATCATACAAACCACATCTTGAGTGACAACATGTGAATGTAAGTTGGAGAGAAAGAAATTCCAAGTTTCCTCCGATTCATTTTTAACAATGACGAAGGCAATGAGGAAAATATTTCAGTCTCCATCTTGTGCAACAGCTATCACCAAGACGTGTCTGTAGAGCCCATACAGAAAAGTGCCATCGACTTGAATAATTTGTTTGCAAAATCTAAACCCTTCGATAGCTGGCTTAAACGCCCAGAACAAGCCACCAAAAATTGTCTTCCCAGGGATAACGTCTCCCTCAAGCGTGATTGCAGGATGAGTATAGTACCTAACAATGGTTCCAATGATGAAAAATTCCATTGCTTGCAGCAGATGTGGTAGTTCATTATATGACTGATCCCAATCACCATACAACAAGGTCATTGCTTTCTGTTTAGCCATCCATGCCTTGTAATAAGTCAGAATATAACCAAATGTATTCTGAATGAATGCCACTAACACATAAATGGGCACTCTTGGATTTGTTTTCCACCAACAGCTTCACAAAAAAACATATGACATCTGACTCTAAATGTTTGTGGTCTTGTGTCAAAGAGGTCATTGTACATGCGTGCTCTGCATTGAACCTTGTGACTTCCTATAACATCTTCCGTTGTAGGTATGATACTCGTATCCTCCATTTACAACCAACATCATGGTGTATACACCTTACAAAATAAATATTTTGATCCGACTCTGCGACATAAAATTGAAGATGAGCTTTGATGTAGTACTCATTGATTGCTAGTTGTGCCTCTTTTTTTGTTTCAAACTAAGACCCATTAGCCAACTCAGATGACTGCTCGTCTGAAGAACCCCAGTGGGCAGCACATAACTCAGGCATATCACATATTTCAGGATTTCACATAACATCGTAGTTAATGTCATGCATTGCAACTGCATGATGATACCGTGACAAATCATGGTAAGGCATTTCAAGTTGAGGGTCTGTCCTTGCCTAAACATTTGAAGAATTCTGTAATCCTTGACATTGTGAATCAGCTGCCTCCTATACATTAGCCTCAACATCTAAACCTTGTCCCTCTGAAGCAACCTCAAAAAAATCGGACTCATAAACTAATGGTGTGTTGTTATCGTCTACCAACAAAACAATACCTTCATAATCCTCGTTAAATTCAACAAGACTTTCACCGAACCGTCTAACAAAGTTATCATCACCATAACGTGCACGTGGTTCAATGGGTCCTGCTTCTTTTGTTCTTCGAGCTGGTACTGATGATGTTGGAATATCAGTTGCATTCGTGGTTTTGATGTACATCTCCACCATATTATTATTTGTTGATTGATGAATTCCAACCATAATAGCAACATCGTCATCATCATCAAGCTGAACTTTTCCATATGTCATTGGATTTGAGGAGATCAAGTGCCGATAAATTAAACATGAAACAAAAGCTCCAAGTTTTCTCTCAATTTTTTGCTTCATTTGGCGATGAGATATATCTACAGGGAACATCATATTGATGGGCCTGTGTGACTTAAACACGACACTAACATCAGTTTGTAGAATTTCGCCTTTATAATGGACAACTGTGAAGAATTTGTTGCTCATTGTTTGAATTTTTTTTTAGATGAAAGTAGTTTGTTGTGTAAGAGATTGAAGATGAAAAGAGTGTGATGTGTAAGAGATGAAAGGAGTGTGTTATGTAAGAGATTGAAGATGATGTGTACAACTTAAAGGGAAGACAAAAACAATTTTCCGTTGGAAATCATCACACCAGAGTGACGAGTTCCATTGAAATTTTAAAAAAAATTCGACCATTAAACAACGGTCAATCCAATGGTCAAAAAATTCAAATTTATACCCGTTGAAACTCGTCACACCGATGTGACGAGTTCCAATGGATATTAAAATATTATTTTTTACATTTCTTTTAAAAATTTCAAAAATATATTTTTTATTTGGACTGTCACGCGGGTATGACAAGTCCCTAATGATATATTAAAATTATTCAGGCAACATGACCCACCTGACACGACCCATTAAAAAAATTATATCTTATGAAACTCGTCACCCCTGCATGACGAGTTCTACAGGTACTGTTGCATTTACTCTAAGTGACCTATTGGACCAAATAATCTACCTGCCCTGATTATTTGGCCAATTCCGCCTTACAATTCTGATTTTAAACTTTCATTTAAATTTTGGATTTTGTAATAAAGTTTGCTGCTTTAGAAAAAGAGATATTTATTGTCGATATATAATATACTGACCGAAATTTAAATCAATTTCAAATTGATTATAATCGATTTATATAAAATAAAAAGAAATAAGATTTAACTAAATATAATCAATTAAGGCAATATTAATTAGTTAAATAAGAGAGCTCAATCAAAGAGCCGTCACAATTTGAAGAACCCATGTCGAAGAAACGCAAATTCTCTGAAGGAACCGAAGGAAAAGAATCAATGCACATCGATTCTTTATCCCTTATGGAGCCCTATTTCTTGAGGAAGGTTTTGCTGGAAGAGCTGGGTGATAACGGCGGCAGCAGCATTCACAAGCCCTTAGCGGTTGCGGTCCACGCAGTTTTACTCGAATCGGGTTTCGTGGGGTTCGATCCCGTTTCGGGGCTGCAAACCGATCGGTTTGATTTCCCCGATGAGTTCCTTTCTCCCGTCTCGTTTTATTATTCTCTGCCGGCTCTTTTGAGTGTGGATCGTAATGATTCTTCCGGTTCAGATGCTTCTGATTATGTAGTTTTAGCGTTTCTAACCCTAGGCCGATTCATTAAGGTCTATGGGTCTTTGGTTATTGGGTCAGGGATACATAAATTGTCACTCGATGAATATAGGTTTGCCCCAACCTTAGATTTAGTAATTGCAAATTCTGCCAAGAATGATGGGTCTTTTAATTCGAATCCTGAGGATGAGGTTATGGAGTTCTGGAAGATAGTTAAGGATGAGCTTGCGTTTCCATTGTTGATAGATCTCTGTGACAAGACTCATTTGGCTCTTCCGCCATGTTTTGTTCGTCTCCCAACCGAGCTAAAGTTCAAGGTTTTGGAGTTATTGCCCGGTGCCGATATCGCAAGAATGGAATGCGTTTGCTTGGAGATGCGGCGTCTGGCATCGAGCAATGATCTGTGGAAGCAGAAATTCAAACAAGAGTTTATAGATGATGACTTTATTTTTATAGATTATGAGTTAGAAGCTGAAGGAATGCAGGAATGGAAAAAGCTGTTCCATTCATGGTGGGTGAGTAGGAACGAACGAAACCGTGATGATGATGATTCACTATTTTACTCACCGGAGTCCCGTGATTATGAACTTACAGACCTACGATCACCATCACGGTAGTTTAGTTATTATTCCATTTAACTACTATGAAATCTTTCAGTTTTAAGTAAATGGTACAAATAATATTATATAGAATGTTAATTATTGAAAAGCTATTCCATCTATTGTTTCAGATATTCAAACATTAGATTTATTATTGATATTGTTTATGCTGCATATATTTTTGAAGTTAATGGAAGTGTTTCTGAATATTTTCTTTATAGATGATCTTAGAGTTGTAAATTTCCCTTTAAATAATATTATTTCTAATATTTGTGTTTAATTTCTTTCTTCCAAAGTGAATTATGCTTTAAATAATATTATTTCTAATACTTGTAATTACTTTTGTGCATGAATTTGGTTGATTTCGAGTGTAACTACCCAAATTTATAGATTGTAATTTAAAAATGTTGAGTTGTTGTTCATCATGTTGTCTCTTCCTCCCATTCTGGTGAGACGTTTACGAATAAGAAGGTGAGTGTTTCTTGTGGAAGCAACAAATCTTGTTCTCCGATGATTCTTTCTAAAACTGGTTTCGAAACGGTGAACGAAGAGCATGAACTCTTTATTGCTCAGGATAGTGCTATAGCTTAGCTTGTATCAAGTATTTAGACCTCATCTCCTTTGAGGTCTGAAAACTTGTTAATAAGTTTTTCATATTCAAACATTAGATTTATTATCGGCATTGATTATGATGCATATATAATTGTATATTTTAAGTAAATGCAAGTGTTTCTGAAGATTTTTCCTTTATAACTCTTATGTCTATTTCAAAATGAATTGCGTCTTATCATTGCATCTATTAATAAAGATTTTTTTTATAAAGGCTTTTGAAACTTTGAGGATATAACATAAGGTTTTATGATGCACAGATATATGTCTTCAGTCTATAGCTTATCATGGTTTAAGTTATGATACATACGAGTCATGTCTAAATCTATTTTTATTATTCTTCGTTAACGGTGAGAAAAATTTAATTCGATTCGAAAATATTGGATTGTTCGACTCAATTCAATGTTGAAGAACATGATCGACTTGACTCGACTCGAAAAATCTTTAAATTTGAGTCGAGTTTCAAAATAGAACTCGAATAACTAGAAATTTTTAGTAATTAGTGGATTAGTTTCCAAGTTTAAGTTGAGTCTCTCAACTCTACATGATATATGTATATAACATATGAAAAAATATGAAAAAATATATGTATATTATATATGATCATAGAAAATTATTTGAATTGTAACAAATAATATATCATAACATTATAAATATTTAAAATTAAATTTAAATAGAAATTTGAACAACTCAAAACAAATCGACTTGAATTTCATAAACTCTATTTGATTTTTTTAAATAAAGTTAAGTTATAAAATAGAATTCATAAACTCAAATATCTCACAATTATTTGATACAACTAATCGAACGTTCACCCCTATTATCTGCATGCACTTTTTGAAGGAAGATCACAATTCTTCTACTTTGGTGCCATTATTTTACTGACTATGTGTTTTTTAAGCTATTAACTCTAGCCACTTAACTTTCGGTGCCATTATTTTCCCCTCGGCCGTAACTTGGGTGGAGATGGCCCAACAATTTGTTATAATTATACTGTAGATAAGCCAATCTCTCTTCTTTTTCCTCTTTTTTTATCTTTATGTTTTTATAACAAATGGCTCTTAAATATAATTTTTATTTTATTTTTTAAATGTCAAGCCAGATTTCTATTACTAGATTAACGGGAGATAACGATCGAGAGACTAAAACTAAACAATGTATGAAATCATAACTAAACGTTTTTTTAACTGGGGACCAAAATCGAACAAACTGAAGATATAAGGGATTACCCATGTAGTTCTAATAATTTCTATGGTTTAAATATGTTTGATAATAAAAAATTAAAACCATCCATTATTAAGTTTTGTTGGTTTTAAATTGCTATTGAAACACTGATAATATCATTGACTAATATCATAGAATTTAATATGTTTGATTACAACATCCAAAACCACAAGAACACTTACAAAATATAATTGACAAATATCATCAAACAAAGTAACTTAGTAATTAGCATGTAATCAATCAAGGCGCTTACAAGCATCAAAACCAATTGAAGAAATTGCATATCCTCATTTTCGTTCTTCCCTTCTAGCAACACTAGTTGTTCTCATAACCATTACATATATACACACAAATATTGTTAGAAATATAACAATCTAAGATGAAAAGAAAACATAAAATCAAATATTTTATATATTCACAATATGTTTCCATAGTGATTCACACATGTCGCGGCAAAGAACATTTAATTCCACCGCAGGATTGATATGAAACGAGTTGAGGCATGCAACTGCACAATTTTCTTAAGACAGAGTTTCGGCCGCTCCTTGATGCTCGAGATCTTTGGTCGTCTGTCTCCCAAGATACAACAACAAGATGATCAACCCACAATAGCACAATTGTCGAGATCACAAACTATTTCTTCCCTTCATCTATCACCGAAAAAACTAGAGGAGAGAAAACTTTTTTGAGCATTTTTATTTAAGTTGTTTTTGAATTGTGTTTAACATAGTAGGATTACACGATATTTATAAGGATTTCAGATTTTGAAAAATTGGAAAAGTTTGACCTAATGAAGCATTTATGAGAATCAAGCAATTTCCAAAATTAATGTTTTAATAAAGGAACCTTTTAATATTTATCCTTTTAATTCTAAAATTGATTTTGAAAAGATATGCTATATTTGAGGAAAATATCTCACATTTGTGTTAAAATATCTATAAGCCAACAAAGAGTCCGACCGGTTTGGACATTAACGTTACCCACATTGTGTACGTCTGCACATGTATGAACCAACAATGTGGAAATTAATTCTCTAGCAATTGTCGGCGTCATATTGACTAAGGCTCCTCCACTTGTGGCATCAATCATCTTCAATTCCATGAGAAGAAGACATTCGTAAAAATATTGAAGAATCATTTGCTCGGTTAATCTGTGTTGCGAACAACTTGCACAAAGCTTCTTAAAGCACTTCCAGTAGTCATAAAAATTTTCTTTGTGTTTTTGTCGGATTGAGAGGATGCTCTTTCGTAACTAACTTGCTTTGGCTGTTGGGAAGTATTTGTTAAGTAAAATTCGACTCATGTCAACCTATGAATTAACTGAATTCAGAGGTAAGTAAAATAACCATTCCTGAGCCAAATCGACTAAGGAAAAAGGGAAAGCTCTCAATTTTATTTGATCTTCGAAAACTCCCTATGGTTTCATTCTAGAGAAAACCATTTGGAATTTCATCAAGTTTTTGTGTGGATTTTCATTGGAAAGGTCGCGAAAAGTGGGAATGAGATGAATAAGGTCGATCTTCAGTTGAAATGGAACTTCGCCTTGTGGAAAGGTTATACGTAATGGTGTCTGAGTGGTAAGAGTTATAGCTAGCTCACGAATCGTTTGTTCTTCTGCCATCGGGATCTGATTTTTGTAATTTGATTGCGTGGAGTCTTCGGGCTCGCGCTTCGATCTCTGGGTCAAACTCTAATAATTCTCCCAGGTTATTCCTGGTCATAAATTAAAAACAAATAAAATTGATAACTTGTTGTTAGTCCCCAACAACAGCTCCAATTTAACGAGTGTCATTTTTCATGTCAAAATAAATTCCTTCTTCTCAAAAAATAAGGAAATTAAATATAGTATAGGAGAAGTAATGGTCCATCCTATAAAGACTAAGGAGATAGATGAAATTCTTTGTTCTTGACTTTGGACCTTGGCGTTTATTGGAGTGGAAAGAAATGAAATTGGGGGAATTGTGTAGTTGGAGAATAAAATAAGTAAAAAGTAAAGAATTGTAAAGAAAAATTAAGAGGAAAATAGGTTTAAAGAAAGTAAAGAAACTGAAAAAGAAAAGTAAAACTTGGAACCTTAATTGGAAAAATCAGCGTTGGGCGTTAGCTCTAACTCAACTTCTTCGGATCATCAAACAAGATTTACCCTTCGGGATTCATGTCGGTTACTTTGTCTACAATGAAAAATCATTGTGACTAGCTTTGTATACCGAATACCCAAGCGCAATTCTTTGATCTCGGTGTTGGAAATTGGTCTATGCAAAAACATTGTTGTAAACAAAAATCGTTTAAGTGCATAAAAACCGACTCAGATGGTTGTTTCAATTAAAATCATTTTCGACCTCAATCCCCTCTTTAGCAATAATTTGCTAATTGTGTTCCCAAGAAGTTGAATGTGCTATCAATTAGCCGATTCTTCCTCACACATGTTTAATCGCAACAACATTCCAACCATCGACTATCTTTGGTTTTGAAAATCCTAAAAATAGTTTAAATTAAATCCAAAGATAAATCCTAAAAATATTTTAAATTAAATCCAAAGATAATTCTAAAATCTTGAATTTTAAATTGCTTGAAATGCTCTAGAAGTCCGTCTACCTTCTAGAATTACTGACTGGATGCTGCTAACTAGACCTTCTAGAGCTGCTAACTTACTGCCACATCAGCATTTCATGCCCACTGTTCCAACCTTGATTCCAGAACAAAAAAGTGTAGTTTTCGGACCTTTTAAGCATAATTTTCAGTAATCATTGTCCTACAAAAAAATATAAAAACATCCAATTTAGCAATAAAGATGAACAATCGAATATTATTTAATTACAATATTTAGCACAAAATAGACACTAGTCAAAGCTCCAAAATTATCGAATTTTTTTCCAACAATCCCCCACATGAATGAAATTGATCATTTTATCAAAACCATTTTGACTCGATGTGGTGATAGACTTTACGATCGATAATTGCATAGGATAGGTAGGTGTCCTCTTTTGAACCTTCCATTGTGATAGCATATTTACTTTACTAGCTGACCAATAGCTGTAATGTTCTTGAACTGTTCTACCGTTTGTGTAAACGATGATATACTTCACACAACTACCCATCTAACAAAAATTTTAGTTATCATGGGTATGTCCTTAAAGCCATGTATATCACCTAATTTTGTAAGAGTTTGAAATAACTATGCCCAAT